TTCTGAACTTTGGGCTGTCTTGACACAGATTTAGGATATGCAAGCACTGCAGGGGATATAAATGGAAGGGGTGCAATCTTAGTTTGATATAAGCTGTTGAGAAAGATATGCTATCAAAAGCGCTAAAAATCCCAGCTCTCAATAAAACTTCGTGGAGAAACATGATCCACGTAGTCAAACCTAATAACATGTTATTCAGTTTAGTCCTTTCAGAAAATAAGGTATAGGAATAGAGAAAAAAGGGTTTTTTTTTAATAGCATCTGAATTCGATGGATGGCACAGGACTGCCATGTAAGCAGCATTTCTGCATATGACCCAGACGCTTTCCCCGTGGAACATTTACCCAGCAAAAAAGGGGCCATAGCCAACAATTAACAATAGTAAACATAGGGAAAGATATAGTTCAGAAGATCATAAACAACATCTGCAATCTTTAGAACAAGTTCAGCTAGACAAGTGGTGAATTGGTATACATTGGTCCTTGTTCACAATCACTCAACCAGGATCACATCCCCAAATAACATAATAAGGAATACGAATAGACAAATGTAGATGATCCAATGAGGAAAACATAAGGGTTAACAGTAAGAAGCGCCATTTCATAACTTACGGGGATTTGGAGGGATGCAATCTGGTGGCCGAAGAATAGATCAACCGCGACGCCATCGTCGATCGTTGAGAAGAGAAACCCGGCCTTGTGTGCAAAGTGTAACTGAAACAACACGCGAAGCAGTTGATACTTGAGAGCACTCCGAGTGTAAATCGAGAGGACGCGTGGCATCATATGCAATGGACAAGCTTGTGGAAGATGTACCATAGGGTTGTTTCAATCCAAAGGGTCAACTCAAACAAAGAAAGTCAAAACTCTACACTTTTTTGGGACGAGGTACAAGTTACAACGATAACCAGAAATCATATTCAGAATAGAAGTGTCATTTTTTTGTCATCGTTTACTAGTATTAAACTTTAAATATGATAGTATTTTACTATCATATTTTAGAATTTTACTACTTTTGATGATGAAAAATATTTTAGAATTTTCTATTTTTTTAACTCTCATTTCGGAAATTTTCCTTACATTGTATTCTCTCCTTCTTTTTGCCAAGTTTTACATACAAATATGTATTCTGTATAACTTATGGTTTAACAATTTTGTATGTACTACTAACAAGGGCACGCCACTAGTAACAAGGTTGTAGTGTTCGAAACTTCGAATATATAAATAAACATGGAGAGTACTGTATTGACATGCCTAAGGCGTTATGCATTAATATCTAAAAACTTATAAGCGAGTTAGGATATTTTAGAAATGATAAAAATGTCAGTGTAACACTTAAGCAAGATGCACTTGTGCAGTTTGTTTTAATCATTGTATCGTTCAACATCACCTATATCACTATATGTATGTCCCTTACTCTTAAGTTTCCAGTTAACAATCTACATAGTACATAGTACCAAATCTATGTTAATAGCATTAATTTCCATTTTATATTTTCATTTATTTTTGTATTTTAATTTTTTTTCTCTATGTTAATTTATGTGATATGTAGAAGATAAGTTTTTGGACGCGTTTGACATTTAGCAGTTAATTGTTAGCGGATAGCGGATTATGTAAGCGGGTTGTCAATAGTAGATTCAGTCAGCATGTTTGATTAGCGGAATAAGTTGGCGGGTCGTCAGAAGATGTTTGGTAATTTAATTGTTTAACCATAAGAGCATCTCCATTCATGATATCCAAATAAACGATTTTTCTAGTACACCTAATTGCCATGTCATTCTTACGCATTAAATTCTTAATAATCTCAAAGCTTAAAATTATTCATCACCAATGATATTCATATAGTTAGATTTTTTATGACATGCATTAATTGCATTTTAACTATAATCTACAATAATCCAGGATTTGAATCTTGATACCGGATTTTCTTTTTAAATAATTCCCCTAAATAATTTCTTTCCCTCAATGTTAATCCTTGAAATAATCTAACACGTCATCTCATTAATCTTCAAATAATCTAACCAATGGTGATGCCCTAAGGATTAGTAGAAAATACATATTTCAAAACATTAACCAAAATTCTCCTATTTGCATCGTTTTCATTTCAACGGTTCTGCCCAAAAATGCTAGGGCCGGACCACTATTCGCCAAACAACGTTTTCACTTATTGAAAACGATGAATTGGGTGAAACCGTCATTTTTTGGCTGGGAGCGCCACTTTTCAAACACCCTATTTAATTATCTTCTCCTTTCGCAATGAAATGACTGATACCGAGCAAATTTTTTTGAATGTGAAAATGGTTACTTGGAAACTGCCCCTTGTTAGTAAACTCTTGTGGCCGCAACAATTTGGCTAGATCTCTTTGTTAAGAGTTGTCATGTTATTCTCATTACTTATTGGTTATTCTAGTTTTATTAAATCAGATCAAATTAGAAAAAATCAGATATGATAGATCAGATAAAAAAATCAAATTAGATCACATCAGATAGATTCAGACCATAAAGATAGGGAAAAAGGGGGGGAAATGAAAAGAAAAAAAAGGGAAAAAAAAAAAGAAGAAGAAGAAAAGAGAAAAAAAAGATAGAGATCAAGTCAGATCAGATCAAAAAAGTTTAGACATGGTTTATTACTTTTAATTATTATTATTACTCTCAAAATTATAACTATAATTATCACCATGGTTATTATTACTATTATTTATTACTAATTTTGTTATTATTTGTATATATTGGTTATATTATAATAATGAAAATTATTATGGTTATTGTTTGTATACATATTTTGATTTAAAAAAAATATTGGGCATTTAGCTAATCACGCAACGCGCGTGTAACTAACTAGTATTATTATAGAAGTACATTTAAAAGCAACATGAAGAGTCCAATGTACATGAAACCAATATGAAATAGAATATAGAAGAAAAATGTGCATGTTGATCAAATGATGTCATTTATCATAAATCATTTAGCAAAGAAATATATTAGTGCGATCAAATTTGATGTGAGCATTGGTACAAATCTCATACACAACTCATTTATCAGGTATATCTTCAACATCATGGTGTTGCATAATTACCAGTTTTAGACATCATGGTAGTTTTGCTTGAAAACGTGACCCTTGAACAGTTAGGTATTAATATTAAAGTGTTGTTTGGTCTTCGTTAAAATGAGTATTGCTGAATGGGAAAATTTTAAATTACAAGCAGGTAAAATGTTTTACTTGTTGTCGAATAATGTAAGTTTTATATGGGAAGGATGGGCCGTGAAATAGCATGTTGTATGAGAAGTTTGGAACTATTGATCTCACCGAACATCGGGATTTGGAATACATTAGGAAATAAAGCTTTTCAAATTAACTAGAGACAATTCAAAGGAAATCAACGTAATCGTTAATTTAAATATAATATATAGTTACTTGGGTGGTTAGAACTGTCACATGATTCATCCTGGGATGGAGATTGTGATTATGTACTTGACACCTGGTTATACGGTAGATGGAGGTCTCAAATCTCTAATTCCTGATGTGATGGGACAAGATATTCCTTTGTAAAGGCTATGTCCTTTTCGGATGTGAATTTCTTAAATGTGTTTTGGAATGTGTGGTTCTCAACTCCTGTGATCCACGACTCGATCAGTGAAATAAATTTAGAAGTTTTTCAGTGTGTTCCATCAAATGATGTTATGTGCAATTGTGAATTTTCTAAGAATGTTTATTCATTTAGCCATCATTTAAAATTGTCTAATCTACCTCAATACAATAGGAAAAGGTTGAGCAAGTTGTTTTGCTACTCAACTTGTATAAAAGTTCTAAAGCATTATTGGAATGTTACAATTGTGTGAATAAACATGATCATGAGTCCTTCCAAAAAAACATGATCATGAGCATTATTGGAAATATAAATCAATGATTGTTGCGCCTCTTCAAACACATGCACAAAAAATAAGGAACATTAAATGCTTGTAGTATTGATGCCCATTAATTTTCAGAAGCACAATGCTATAAATACAACACAGCTCCACACTTCCTTTTCAAGACATTTTATTTATTTCTTCCTTTCAAGACATCTTATCTCTTTTTGTAGGTTTATTTTGTTGCGAGGAAAGTGATACATTAATAAGCAAAAATTGGTTTATGGTCCTTGGTGAAAAATATTTACCAAAGCGAGACTTTAGGGTGGTTCAAATTTACAATGTACCTAACAAGGATGACTATGATCAGAGATGGCTTTTGGGGGAGTTGGCCAAGGCAAATGCCTTGGGCCTCACATTCAAAGAGGGCCTCCAAAAAAATTATTAATATTAGTATTATGTACAATTATTCAATAATTCGAAACTGGGATAGGAAAATTGTCGTCTGGTCTTAGTCCACCGTCCACGCGACCACGCATCTGGGAAGAGTGCAATTGAGTAATGAGATTATCGATTACGGGAAGGGTTGTGCTTCTTGTCCTCTGCCGACGCCTGACATGTCGACAACTTCACCGAGTCGCCGTCCAGTGTTCCAAGGACTCCCAGCCCACCATGCATGTTCGTCAATTGAATGTAACTCCGAGACGCCGCCACTATCACCGTTGATCTGGACGACTCTCTGACTTCTCTTTGCAGGCTCTCAGTCTCTGATTTTTCTTCTAATCTCCTTCTCTTAATATCTTGCTTTGCATTGCCTTCTGGATTTTTTTCTTTTTATGAATCGATGGATTCACTTTCCTCTTTAGAATTTAGTAACTCAAATACGGAGTACTAAATAACATGAATGCCAGATGTGTAGATGTCTAGATAAGGTCATAAGGATGCTTGTGCTCGACTTTCGAGGTAGGAACCATAGAAGACAAGTTAAGCAACAAGTGGAGCCAAAGATAAAGTGGTGGAGGCTTGAGGGGGATCTTCAACAAAGCTTTACACACAAAATGTTTGGTGAAGATGTATGGCGTATTGATAATGGAACACAGGTGGAGGATGCATGGTTATCGATGGAGCTGACCATTAACAAAGTGGCAAAGGAGGTACTTGGGGAATCTAAAGGATGTTTGCCACCCAAAAAGGACACGTCTTGGTGGAATGATGAGGTGAAACAAGCCATAAGGAACAAAAGAGATTGCTACAAAAAGTTGGGAATAAGTCGGAGTGATGAGAACATAGAAGCTTACAAGGAGGCTAGAAGACAAGCAAAGAAAGCCGTAAAAGAAGCACAAGGGAAAGTGAACAAGGAGTTGTATGAAAAATTGGACTCTAAGGAAGGAGAACAAGAGATCTATAGACTTGCTCGTCTTCGTGATCGCAGGACTCAAGATATCGGAAAAGTTAAGTGTGTGAAGGATGTTGATCAAAGGATATTAATGGAGGACGGAGAGATAAAAGAGAGGTGGAGATCATACTTTGATACATTGTTCAACGAGAACAAAGTGCAAGATATCGATGATTTGACCATACCAGATTGTATGGTAAATCGTGATTTTGTGAGAAGGATCCAACCAACGGAAGTTAAAGAGGCTTTGAGGAAGATGGGGCGGAAGAAAGCAGTGGGTCCAGATGGCATACCGATCGAGGCTTGGAGAAGTTTGGGAGAGAGAGGCATTGAGTGGTTAACAAATTTCTTCAACAAAATTTGGAGAAACAACAAGATGCCAACGAGTTGGAGAAAGAGTACTCTTATTCCCTTATTTAAGAATAAAGGTGATGTACAAGAATGTGCCAACTATCGGGGGATTAAACTTATGAGTCATACCATGAAACTTTGGGAGCGATTGATTGAGCAAAGACTTCGAAGAACGGTGAAGATCTCAGAGAGCTCAACAACTGAGGCTATTCACCTTCTTCGGCAACTTATGGAGAAGTATAGAGACGCTCACAAGGATTTGCATTTAGTGTTCATTGACCTAGAAAAGGCATATGATAGGGTACCTCGAGAAGTTCTTTGGTGGGCCTTAACTAGAAAAGGCATTTCACGCAAGTATATCAGCATCATCATGGATATGTATGAGGATTGTACTACAAGTGTCCGTACTAGTGTAGGGAGGACTGCGGAGTTCCCTATTACTATCGGAGTGCACCAAGGATCGGCTCTTAGCCCTTTTTTATTTGCCATAGTCATGGATGAACTTACAAAGTCAATTCAAGACGATATACCGTGGTGCATGATGTTTGCCGACGATATTGTATTGATTGATGAGACGCAATCAGGGATTAAAGCAAAGTTGGAAGTATGGCGACAGACATTGGAGAACAAGGGTTTCAGACTAAGTAGGAGCAAGACAGAGTACATGGAGTGCAAGTTTGGTGGAGGTAGAAGCAGTGGTAATAGCGGAATTACTTTAGATGGTAAGGAGATACCAGTCAGCGATATGTTCCGTTATTTGGGCTCCATAATTCAGAAGGACGGTGAGTTAGATGGAGATGTATCCCATAGAATCAGAACAGGGTGGATGAAGTGGAAGAGTGCATCAGGATTTCTATGCGATCGAGGTATGCCGACTAGACTGAAGGGTAAATTTTATAAGACAGCAATTAGGCCGGCATTATTGTATGGCACGGAGTGTTGGGCGGTGAAACAATGTCACATTCAAAAGATGAGTGTGGCAGAGATGCGCATGCTGCGTTGGATGTGTGGGCATACTAGAAAGGACCGCGTGAGGAATGAGACAATTAGACAAAGGGTGAGAGTAGCACCTATTGAAGATAAGATGCGGGAGTCACGCCTACGGTGGTTTGGTCATGTGCATAGAAGACCGAGTGATGCACCTGTCAGACGAGTTGAGATGTGTGGAGAAGAGGTAGGGAAGAGAGGGAGAGGAAGGCCCAAACAGACGTGGGTTAGGGGAGTCAGAAGTGATATGCTTCTTCTTGGATTGGATGAGGGTATGGCTTTGGAGAGAGCAAAATGGAGGGCGGGTATTCGTGTTGAGGAGTGATCTTGTATCATCTTTTTTTTCTTCTTCTTCTTTTTTTTTCCTTTTCTTTTATATCTTTATCCTTATATATAAATATTACCTTATCCTTTTTATTTGATCTTTTATATGTATATTCATCTCTTTTATATTATCTTTTTTTTTTATAATAGCTTATCTTTTTTATCTTTAGTTTCTTTCTTTTCCTTTTGGTGATAATGTGATATCATATATCGATTCATGTTAGCCGACCTCAATATCATTTGGGACTAAGGCTTGGTTGTTGTTGTTGTTGTTGTTGTTGGTGTTTGAGTCTAAATTACTAAAGAATAGTAAATAGTAAATACGAGTAGTAAATACAAGTGAACTAGTGCCTGAATAGTTTAACGAAAATGATAAAGGTGTAAAGTTAAATATTTAATATCTTAAACATATGACTTTAAATTAAAATTTGTAAATAATTGAGTTAATATTGGTATTGTATGGATTAGGGATTAGATGATATAGACATGAAATAATTAATTTGATGAAATTGGTATTACCAAATTAGTTATTTTCTTGACTTATTGCTCGTATTTAGAAATTTCAGGCTTCTGTAATTGATTTGTATGTGAATTTTGTTGGAAATATGCCCTAGGACAATCATAGTTTATGATTTATCAATAAATATTTAATGCTCATTAATTAATAAAGTCACAAACTCATTTTATGTTAATTATTATTGTGAGTTTTCTTTATTAATATTAGTCCCTGAATATTATGTTTAGTAGCTAATTAAGTATGTGACTTAATTGTGGAATGCTACACTTTAAAATAAGCATAATATTCTAATTTTCCTTGGTCTAATATTATTAATTTGGGACATTAATAATTAATAGACCAGTATGTGGATTAACTGATGGCTATATTACATTAGTCATGGGTATAGAGATATCAAGTTAATAACATAGATGCTTGTGCGGGAACAAGTTCATTGGACAGACTCAACTTGAGGACACTACTAGGTTATATGTCATCTGTGTTATCCTCAATAATGATGAGGTGCTATATTTTTATACTCGAGATAATCATGGTTACTTGCATGAGAATTAATATGTATTAACATCATTAAATGTTATCTTTAAATAGATAATTATAAAGGTGGTGATTGTACATATTATGAACCATGTAATAGTATGTGAATTATCAAGATAGTTTTTGTCACTCTTGTATAGCGAGAGAAAGATATCTATTGGGCCCCTTGACAAGTAAGATTAATAAGCATGGTCATGCTCAAATGAGGTGTCACTTGATCAAGATTAATCTTACTTGGTAATCAAAAAATATTAATTGAGAATAACAAGGATGACATGACCTAACCTTGTCTCAATTAATATATCGTTTGACAAAAGAGAATTATCAGCACAAATTAATCATTAAAAGGTTATGTCAGATTTAATTGACATTTATATATTTTTTGGATAGTCATAATGCCTTGCTAGAGGCCGCTTATGATTTGTGAGGCTCAGATTAATTTTCTAGCCCACTGCTAATAATATATAAACCTACAGGGTCACACACCTAAGTGATTTGGATCATTAATGTAACACCCCAAAAACCAGTCTAGCTGTTTAATGCATATCAATAAACGTACAATTATTATTTGATCTGTCTTATTGTACTAACAGTGAAATATAAAAGAAAATAGAAATAGGAAAAAATGATGAATGATAAAATAAGATATCACTAAATGAGGTTAAGACTGCTAGAACTCCGTAAAATCTACAAGTCACATTTATAATACTTTTCAATAAGTGTTTAAGCCATTAAATTATAACTCTAGGACCATAATGTATTAATCTTCTAAGCCCCGAATCTAAACGTTCACGTGAAGATGTTGCCAGAAGTGTTATAATGTCGTGTCCTCCATCGAAAACTAGAGTGGTCGGTAATATTACTTTTGCATGTACATGTGACTTCAATAAGTGTTTGGAAGCTTCTCTGTTGCTGAAATATTGTCCTTAGTAGTCCATTAAATTTAGACATATATGACGATAGTGGACTAGTGAATTAAAATGGTCAAACAAAACTGATACTCTGAATAGCCACGTAGAGACTTAGTTCATTATCATGATACACTTGTTTTAATAAGACAATTGGTTGCTGGAAATCATGTTATACGAATAGGATAAATTTTAATTATTAGAAATACACATATTTGTTGATTGGTCTAAATGGAGGTGGCATTAGAAGATTTTAAAATTTAATGCATCTTATTTATTTGATTGGCCGAATTGGAGGTGATATTTGGGGAGTAGCATGAATTTAAGTAAGGACCTAGTCATCTCTTTCCCGTAGAACTAGTCCACAAAATTATCTAAGAAACCCCCCAAAATGAACTAGGCTGTATGGAGATGAAGATAGTCGCATAGGAGACTCTCACGCTAGCAATTTGAGAAGAATTTCTTTAAGGTCAGTACGTTTCCGTCCCGACCATTTAGATTATTATGTTTATTTCCGTCCCCGTTTCCGATTGTGTTATGGGGATGATGAACGTTATATAGCCTTAGAAATTTTGTATGCTGTAATTATGTGTTTTTAATTTTATAAGAATTTTGAGTTGTAGACACCTAATTCTGTCATATAGTTGATAGTAATTACATTTGTTTTAATCCATACGAATGTCAGCTAGAAATAAAGCTTAGCTCCGTATATAATATTAACAAGTAAAATCGTTAAAATTAACACTATTAGGTTAATCATAACGATTCTGTGATATACGAGTATATAGAATATCACGGTGATGTATTTTGCACGAAACCATTATACTTTGATTAGGATAGATAGATATGTGCTATTATAAATAACATGCATGCACTAACGTACTTATGAATATGCATGAAACAATGTTAGCTGGAGTAGAGAAACTGCAAATTTAACGATATTTTCAGAAACATGATTCGCCATACTACATATGATGAGCCAATTATTTACATGAATCATGACTAGTTGTGTGAGTTAAATGGTAAGGTCTTTTAAATAAGAATATAAAGAAAACATGCACCCATTTCACGTTAAGACCCAATGATGGCTATGTATAATAAGTATCATTTCTCATACATACTTATAATAATAATAATACATTTGGCCTCACCATTGTAAAATAACAATATTTATATCCATGCACTAACACCATAGATCACTTACGGTGAGTATGTATGTAGAAGTATATATACCATCTTTAGATTTTAGTGATATTTACATGCATGCTTAATAAACATCCTCACATACATGGATTAGTATTACTACCTCCGTTCTCTTTTAAATGCAACGTTGGACTTTTTGCACTATTCACAAGTTCTACTTTGACTACGTTTTATTTATTAATGTAATAATATATATTTTTGAAAAATATATTATTAAAATTTTGTCATTATAAATTTTCAAAATCTATTTTTTAAACTTTTTTTACTAATCGGGAATTATATATATTAATGGTCAAAGTTGTGCCTCGGCAAATGTGAAATGTTGACCGTTGCATTTATTTAAGAACGGAGGAAGTATATACGTAGTGTGTAATTTGCATGAATGCTCTAACTAAATATTTAAGTACAATAATATGTATATATATACATATGTGACATTGCATGCATGTATGCATTAACTTAATTAGTGACCTATATGCGTATTTACGTGTATGAATACAAGGAGTAATTATCACTTTCAAATTGATAATTTAATTAAAGTCCGTACTCCGTAACATGGAAAATAGGAATAATCATATAAGTTGGACCTTGATGACAGGTTACATAAATACTACGTAACACGGAGTAGTATATACGTATGTAGTCAGATAGGTATATATTGATGATTAAAAGCTTGGACCAGAATGTACACCTTAATTATTAATAAAAGAAAAATATTAAGATAGATTGAATACGGTGGTTCAAGTAATTGTTTTTATTTATGTCGGCCAGATGACATATGAATCGAAAGTATGTTTTATAATTTGTTATTTTTAGTGTATATTCAGCGAGGCACTTTCTGTTACTCTGTTAGATAAATCCAGCTTATACTTGAAAATCATTTATATACTTGAACAGTTATTTGTAACTAAAATAAAAGATGGGTATTATTAGGAAAAAGCCTTACTCTTGATCCGGTACTCTGACTAGGATACTCCTCATCTGTTTAGTGTACTGTGTACACTCCTGAAATTCTGTTTAGAGGAATTAGTGCTCTCCTGTTTAGTGTACTACATACACTCCTGTTCTGTTTAGTGTACTTCGTACACCCCTGAAATATTTTTAGAGCACTACTACTCTCCTGTTAAGGTCGGGTCTCTTCAGTGATCTCGTCCTTTCTGTTCAGCTAGCTTCTGTCAGGGATTGGTACGTGTAGCTCCGGCGATTACGTTTCCATATTCCTTCTGGGTAATGTGGGTACGGACTTCGATCGACCGTATTCCTTGCCGTTAGTATTCCTCAGTCTAGGTCCAGATTCCAGAGTTTAAGGCTAAATGAATATGTATTTTTCAATGATAAGTTTCAGAATAAGAATTATCTGATAATTATGATATCTGAATATGCTTCTGTTCTTTACACAAGAAGAATATAAAAATTATCTCAGAATAAAATTATCTGACATTTATGATATCTGAGTATGATTCTATTCTGTATGTAAAAATTTGTATTTTTGTAACAGCTGCTCGGTTCACCCAGGTATGTTATATGTTTGTCTGATAAAATGTGAATTATGATATGTTAATAGGTTCTTTGATATGTTAATATTATTGTTATGTTATTACCGTACCACTCAGCACATTGCTGAGCGGGTAGTTGTGCGTTTTCCTACCCGTAGGTTAAGCACGGAACCCGCTAGGAGCACAGGGATGGAAAGAGGCGTAGGACGCAATTGCATGCCATGTTATTTGGTGTTTTTTTTAATAAAGGACTTTAATATGTCATATGTGATTTTAAGAACTTCCGCTGCACTCCTTGAAGTGTTTTATGATGTTTAAATTATGTCTGTTTTAATAACATTCTACTCCATGTGAGTTTGACATTTTCTGGTATTTAGTAATGAAGTCGTTTTGGAATTAATACACTTTATTTTAAGTAATAAAATCTCTTATTAAATTTTTTGAGTTTAAAGTAAAGTAAAAAAAAGGGCACTATTTCTTGAACCACGAAAAGTATTTTTGATTAAATCCGTTCTAATTTTCCGCCAAGTGATGCGCCACT